ACACTGATTTAAACCCATTGTAAAAAGTAATTTTGTTAAAAGACTTTGTTTTTTTATATTTTTATATGAATAAATATAAATTTTTAATTTTTTAATATATAATTTTAGAAATAATTTTGTCATTTATAAAAACTAGTTTTAACATATTAGTTTTATCAATTTTGTTATATTAAAAAAGGTAGTTTAGTAAGTATCACTAATAATGATTTAATTATTTCAAATAACTTTATATCATTTAATTGGAATGGAATGATAATGAATCATTTAATTAAAATGCTCTTTATTATTCTTATTAAATAATAATGTATTTTCTATATAAATAAAATTAAAATTAATATATTTTGGATATTTGAAATAGTTAAAATAGTAACCATTTTAATTATTAGAGATCAAAAATCAAAATGATCAAAATGATATTATATTATATGAATTTTCATATTAAAAAATTAATATAAAATAAGTATAATCTTGGTCAATATTATTTGTTTCTTATAATATAATTATCATTTAATTTCTTGTGACATGTAAACTAATGTTCATCAATTTCAGATAAATTAATATTAAGATAATCACAATTGAATAATTAGCTGAAAATTATAATTCAATAAAATTTTATTTAAAATAAAAAGGTTTGAATTATACATTAAGTCGAAATGGATCATTTCAGATATCCGAAATGGTCAAAATGGTCAAAATCATTTTGATCATTGGAGGCTAAAGTCGCGAAATAGTCAAAATGATGTCATATCACATAATTTTTTATATTTAGAAAAAACAAAAAACAAAAGATATACGACTCAGTCAATATCGCTCCGATTCATATGAAACAACTACCATTCGATTCCTCGAAACTAGGCGGATCCAATGAGCTTAACATTCATTGATTTTGGATCATCCAATCACGAGATACTCGCAATTGTATTATCAGCCAAATTATAAATCAATAAATTCTACTTTAAATAAAGGAGTCCAGATTTCGAAATACATCACAAATATCTCAAGATGGGATGATCCAAAATCAATGAATATTAGCACATTGGATTCGTTTAGTCGCAAGAAATCGAATGGTTTTTTTTTATCTTTTAACGATGCAGTACTTCCATAAGTTTATTAAAGTTTTTTTATAATATACTAAATAAAAAATTACAAAGTAGGAAAAAACAACTAAACTATGACTATCTCCTGTAGTTCTATTGCTAATAAAAGCTCAAACTCATTTAGATCAACTGATCACTGGAATCCCCCTCTGACCCGACCAAGAAATCCATATTTAATGACCGAACCATTAACAAGAAATTCAAATAAGATTGTCAATACAGCAACATAATTTCTAAATGCCCTTCAATCCCAACTTCTAAATAAAATTTAAAAACTAACAACCCTCCTAAGAAGGGAAATAGGTACAAATAGAAATTATCAAAAAAGACAAATAAAACTCTATAAAAACCTAAATGTCTGATTAATTTCAGATATAATGACCACCTGACCAAAGAAGATGTGTCCAAAGAAAGGTCAAAATAGAGGCTCTTCATACTTGTAGATTCACAAGTACAGAAAAGATATCATGCGGAATCCACTATGAGAACCCTATAATGAAGCAACAGATAGTAACCTATACCTTCTACTTGGTTACCAGGAAGGAACAGATTAGACGAAGCGGACTTACACTGAGTAAGCAAATGGCAATGACCACCTGGAGCTCTATTTAAAACTATAGTAGGCCGACAAAATACAAACCAAGTGGTAGCTATTATCACACCATATAGGAGATCTCATGAAGAAATAAAATAATAATTCACGCTAAATTTACATGTGATCTTCGATGACAGAGGATCAAAAGAGAGTATATTATTTAGGAAGGGAAAAGTTATCATCACGTGAGATTTGTTTATCCAAAGTATGTCGATTATGATCATCAGTTAGGATACCCCTTGATGCCCACTTTTGAGTAAACAAAAAATAAAAAGAGAAAAATGAAAAAAATTTTTTTGAAAAGAGGTGAAGAAAAAAATCTTTTAACAAAAAACAACACTGTTTAGACTATTTCGAAAAATTTTATGTAAATAGGGGTGTGGGGAACAAAAAGAGGAATATTTTGAAAGGTGGGGTTTTTTTGTTTGTTCGCAGGCTAAGCTGCGGCCGCCATTGAATGGGCACTTTTTTAAGTAAAAATTCTTGGAAAAAATCTAACGAGTAAGAGAGTGAAGAAATCGAATGGTAGTTGTTTCATACGAATCGGAGCGATATTGACTGAGATTGTACATTTTTTGTTTATTGTTTTTTCTCAATATGAAAAATCATGTTATATGACGTCATTTCAACTATTTCGCGACTTTAGCCTTCAATGGTCAAAATGATTTCGACCATTTCGACTATTTCAGATATCTGAAATGATCCATTTCGACTTCATGTATAATGAAGATTATTAATAATAGCTGTATTATAAATATATTTTTAAAATTTGTTCTAATTAAAATAATTAAAAAAGCTTAATTAATAAATTATTAAAATTCAATTTGAAAAAAAAAATATTTAATAAGATTATAATTTATCTGTTAATAAAGATGGGAACTGTAATTAATATGTTGCAACTTTTAATGTTGCAACTTACGTTGCAATTAGTTTTAACCTATATATGTTGCAACTTATAATGTTGCAACATACGTTGCAACTAATTTTAGCTTATGTTGCAACATTTTGTAAATTTGAAATCAATTGCTGTACCATCTTTATCTGTTAATAATTTTTTTGTTATAAGATTAAGTGAATCTTCATGTTTAATAATTTTATTAAGTTATACCAAAATATTAAATAGTTCAGTAATAGGAGGAAGGGTAAATTTCTTTTGAAACTATAATAATAAATAGATAACTTTCTAAATTATCTGATATTAATGAATTCAATTAAACATTACACTTTTTAATAATAATAAGTGCTTTAATAACTATATTTCCAATTAAATGAGAAATTCTATTGAAAATATATAAAAAAATTAAAAATTTGTAATTTGTGAATATTGTATAATTAAATAAAAGGCATGCTTATTACAAGTTATTCGTTTTAAAGAATAATGTAAATTGTATAGCATTTTTGCATTTGTAAGTAATTTAAATCATTTCTCTATAAATAATTAATCATAATTAATAAACAACAATAAATTTTTAAATTATAAAAATGAATTATACCTATTCAAATTCTTTGGCAAACAAAAAATAAAGTTTTTGAAGCATTCTTCCAAATATCCAATATCAGTTATACTATCATTAATAAGAATATATCTATATCCACTTTGTGGATTTTTTCAATTTCAATTAGTACATCTAATAAAAAATGCATTTCCTATATTCTATTATTATTTTTTTAAAAAAAATTATTATACTTTATTAAAGATAATATTGGTAAATACCAAATTTTTATGTTTTCTTAAAATTGGATTTCTATAACAATGAGTATTTGAGTATTTGTATTAGGATTAATAAAAGTATAAGGAAATTTATGTGCAGCAACAAATTGACTAAAACAAAAATTCATTTTTTAAAATTATAATTTAAAAGAATTTAATAAAATATTAAGATAATACATTTTTTATCATATGTAAATTATTAAATTATTTACCATAAAGCAAATTCATGAGAATTATCTGGGAGCGTTTCCAGTAAAATCACATTACGGATCATATGATTTACTATGCCTCATGACTTGATTTTACTGGAAACGTTCCCATCTTTTTAATTAAATAATTCTTTATAATATTCATTATCAAAATCAACAGCAGTATGCATATCCTTAAATATTTGTTTTGAAACAAATTCGCATATTTTTATTCCTTGGCAAGTTCTTTTTTACAAAAGATACCTAAAAAAGGATGATTTTTTATACTTGACATTTTTCTAGGATCTTCTAATGAATATTGCACATTCCTTAATTTGAAATACTCTTTATTTTACTAATATTCCAACCATCATCATTATAAACAGTTGCTACATCTATCTCTAATATTCTAGGATATTTTTTAAATTTAAAACAATACTCAATATTCCAACTTTCAACCAAATACAGTTGAATTATTATTCTATAATATTTATAAATATTTCAATTATGTATAAAAAATGAAATTAAATAAGTTTAAAGAATATAAAAACAAATCATCTCAATTTCGATACTGATAATGTTTTGTCTTCATCTTCACTTAAATTTTCATCTTTAAATTTAGATTATTACTAAAACCCTCCTATAAAAAGTTATTTATTAAAAAAATGATAAATTAAATTTATAAATTATTATTTATATAGCACTATTTGTTATATTATATACAACGTGGTTTCTTGTTTTAAAAAAAAAAAATTTTTTTTTTATTGTAATATTTTTATTTTTGTTTATAGTAATTGACAAAATTGATTTATACATACTGTTGAGTCACAAAATTATTAAAAAGTTTTATTTGCGATATGATTAAAATTTAAATGACTTCTTTTTTTTTTTAGAAATGTGAGAATTTATCGATTTCGGTTGTGAATCACTTGATTAGATTTCCAATTTTATTTTTTAGATCTGCAAAATTGTACTGTACTGGTACAAATATTATAGAACCGGTACAGTGTGGTTTATCAAACCTAAATATCAATTTCCGGGAAATAAATTTATTCAATTCATTCTAATAAAGGAAATAAATTATAATTATTTAAAAATATTCTTTAAAAAGAAATTTAACTTAATTAAGAACGAAACAAATCTCTGATATTATTATGTAAGTTCAGACCCTTATTGTTTTTATTTTCAGAATCGAACACATTAAACTTTTTTGGTCCTTCTCATAAGGTTCTCTTAATAAAAATAATGAAAATTAATTAAAAGAACATACGATCGGCGAAATGTATGACATATAAACTACGTAAGTTTTGGCGTTTATCCAATTTTATCATGATAAAATTTAGGATAAAAATATTCTTCCTCAAACCATTTTTTTTCTTTTTCTTTCCCACCTTTTTTTAATGAAAAAAATGTATGAAGAATTGTCACGAAATGATCCACTTACTCAAACATCACAGTTGACTAACAGTTCATCAAATAAATATACTCTCAAATTATGCATCGTAATTGTTCTCCTTATAATTTGGTCAGCTGCACAAGGAATAATTTCATTTCACATTGGATCAAACTTTAATTCACCATGTTTAATAGCATTTGGTATTTCTTCTTTCGCTCAAATTGTTATCATCCTTTACATTTATCATAAAATCTTAACAGAACATTACGAAAGATCACGAATTAATAATCTTATAGAAGCGATTGAATTATTTGAAATTGAAAGTCACATTAATTCTCGTAAAAAAACGGAAAAATTCATTATTATATTCGATATTATCATTTTTATGATATTTGCAACAATTACTACTTTTATTGCGTTTTATGTTAAAGATCAAGAGAAATATCATAAGAAACCGTTACCACCGGGAACGATTCCTCCTTTAGATGATACAAATGATGATGTACTACTACCTTTGCAACTTTTAGCATTTAGTGTATATGTCTTACATCCTTATTTAATTATTATTCCTTCTTTATGGTATTTATCCATTTCCAAGCAATCTGAAGTGTTGAAAGAAGCAACTGTGTGGGCAGCGTTATTCTTTTCTGTCGCTTATCTAGTTTTCATCAATTGTCAATTGGTTTTATTTATAGCTTGGAAATTGCAAGAGGTAGTTTTTACGCTGATTATCGCAGTGATGTTTGTGGTATTTGCTGCTAATTTTGGATGGATATATTGGTGGAGAGGGAAAATTGAAGGCGAGATTAGTTATAGTAATGAAATTGAAGATTTTGAAGAAGAAGAATAAATTAACCTGTATGTACGTTAATGAATATTTACGAGGTTTTTTCCTTAATATTCGAATGAAGTTTACATTTTATCAAAAAGGTGTGATTATTAAAAAAAAAAACAAAAATTTAATTATACTTCAACTCTAAATAAAGAATTTTTCCTTTGTGAATAAGACTCAAAAACAATTATTTTAAATTTTTCGGGATCAACCTTCTAAATATTCATCAAGAAAACGATTTATTAATGTTTACTTCGCCATAATGACATATAATTTGGTCATTTTTATTTATTCATAATCGTATCATTACTGATGAAAAATTACATCATTAAATTTAAAGCAAAGTTAACTCGATTAAGAATAAGTCGATCATATTCAAATTTTTTGAATAATTATCCATTCTGAAGTATTTTTTATTTTTTTTTTTTTTTACAAATTCGTGTCCTTTCTAATAAGATTTGCAAAAAGAAAAAAAATGCCTTCTAATCCCTCTCAACAAAGTTCCGAACTTTCAGGTGAACGTAAATTTACGATCCCAATAACCATCGTATTTACTATCCTTTCAATATGGTCAATAGTACAAGGAATAATCGCAATTACCTTTGGTTCATTGTTTTATTCATTTTCTTTAAGTACTTTTGGGATTTCATCCATCGGACAACTTGTAATCATATTTTATATTTATCATAAACTTTTGACCGAGCATTACATGAAATCATTACTTTCCACCGCTACCGAAACCACACCAATCCTGAATAATAGGAATGGCATTAATGCTCGTAGAAAAACCGAAAAGAGAATTGCGATTTGTGGAATGTTCGTTTTTATCATCTTTTCCATAGTTACTTTGATATCTCTGTTTTACATTAATAAAAAAATTGATGATCACCCCGAACATAATCAACCACCACCACCAGGAGACGACGATGATGATTTTGAAAAGAGACGACCAACTTTATACATTTTATTGTTCTCAGTTTACGCCATACACCCATTTTTCATTTTAATTCCTGCCATTTGGTATTTGTCTTCTATAACAAATTCTTTGGTTTGGAGGGAAGCGACCATTTGGACCATATTATTCTTCTTTATGGCTTATATACAATTCATCAATAGTCAATTATTGTATTTCGTGACATGGAAAACTAGGGAAATGGTTTGCACGTTATTGATGGCGATATTGTTTCTCATATATGCTGCCAGATTGGGTTGGATGTATTTACGAAGAGGTGGTAACATTGAGGATCAAGTCAGACCAGCAATTAATGCCTAATATGTTAATTTTTTAAAAATTAAAAAAATTTAACATTTTTTTATTATTTTTTTTATTTAATATATTGTATATCGGATATACAGTATAGCTTTTATTTTATTATTGTTATTAATATTTACATAATTCTCGTAATTATGATGAAAAATAAAATAAAATAAACTATTGCGTTACGTGGCCCTCGCTATTTCAATAATTGGAGATCTCCAGGTCATAATGTCTTCCTGTTTATTTAGATTTCCAAAAGGTCTTAAAACTGAAAGTAAGACTTGATATTGTCCATTCGGGACTACAATGACATCCCCATTTGTATCTATAACCGCACCAGAACTCCAAATTTTAAATGTATCTCGAAAATCTCCACTTCCACCATTACGTGGAGCTACGGTATCAAGATTTATGAAATTTTGATCAAGTGCCAAAAGTCCTAAAAATCCTGCTGGAGTGAAATCTCCTCTTTTATACAATTCTAGCTTGACTAGTCTGCTACCATAATTCAATAGGTATAGAAAGACTGGGAAATCTTCACGTTCATTTTCTTTCAAAAATGTGAAATGGGCAATTTGATCTTCTCTATCGAATCGTTCCCTGTTATCGGATCTTTCAAAAAATGGATACGAAAGATTCGATAAAGTAGGAAGCGTGATTAAATCACCTTTAAGTCCCAAGTATGGGAGTGAAAATGTTTGATGTTGAGCCGAATCTTTAATTGTAACGTATCCCGAGTAAATTCCAAAATCATTCGGCATATTTTTGGGCTTGGTAAATTGAACTTTCACTTTGGCCGTTACCCCAGGTCGTACAATGACGGAATTCTTTGAAAATTTCACCCCGGCAAAACGTTTTTCAATCATGAATGAACTAGTATCAACCCATTGATTATCAAACCATCCTCTTATTGATACCGATGGAATATGCGAAAATGTAAATTTTGTAGTCTTTTTCCCCGTGTTTGTTATCCTAATCGTTTGAGTTCCATTAAAATGAGCTGAATCGTTAAGTAATAATTTGCCTGGTTCAATTATCGCTCTCGCTTTAATCGCTCCAACAATATCAATAAGTCCTCCTCCTTGTTTATCGATTGAAATTGGTATCTTTGTGTTTTCATCCTTTGAATTGGGGTAAATTGGATTGGCAGTAAATGTGAGGATTTCTCGAAGTTTTATTGGATCAATCGTTCCTCTCCTTAAACCTGTCGCTTGCATATAAAGCGCTATGCTTCCAGACGCATATGCTGCCGCCATTGACGTTCCTAAATTAACAAAATGATTGGACAAATCAATAAAATTCATTTAATGAATTAGTTACATTTCCTTTAAATTAAAACTTACCAGAAATAGTGGCATAGCTTCCCAAATTTCTTGGGAATGTACTGAAAATACGACCTCCAGGAGCCATTACATCAGGTTTAATATTCATATCAAAAGTTGGACCCCACGAACTTGATCTTGAAGGTTTACCGGCATTTTCAAGTGGTACCACAATAACCTTTTCCGGGAAAGAAACTGTCAAACTGGAATCCTTTCGAATTTGCTTTTTCAAATATTCACCATCTACGTTACTGATGTGTAAGATTGGAAAGTTGATTGATAAAGGTAAAGGGCCCGGTAATGAATCATCGTTATTATAAAACATCACTGCGGTAGCGCCAGCAATTGCAGCATTTTTGACTTTACGTCGAACGTCGCAATCTCCACCACGTATTAAAACGATCTTGCCGGTTAAAGATTTAGCGTATGGATCGCAACCATCAAATTCGGGTAAGTTTATTGTTGTGTTTGCAATAACGATTGGATGAGATCCAGTAAATTGAAACCTTGAAGTTATACGTTTGGTGACATAAGCTATACGTCGAAAATTGAGGAAAATAGAAGATTATTTTCTCAAACATTTGACTTTATTCATTGGAAATAAAAAAAAGAAGAATGAATACTTACGAATTAGCTTTTTTGGATTATTACTCGGTTTCAACACATAAGAAAGGAATTGGAGGTTGTCCACGTGACCGACGGTTATGACGTTTGCCGTGGAATCAGGGCTACCAGCTGCAAATAATCCATTATCACCAACATTTGAACCAGAAACAACGAAGATAAATCCTTTAAGAGCAAGATCATTAAGAACTATTCCAAGAGGAGTGTCGCCCCAGGCTTGAAAATTTCCACCTAGAGACATATTTATAACATCCATTTCATCAGCAGTTGCTCGTTCCATTCCTTTAATAATTAAATCATCCGTGGTTGATGAAGAACAATCGATAACTCTGTAAATTCCAAGTGTAGCTAAGGTAATAATAATATTATTATTATTAAAATTCAACCAATGTCTTGAAAAGCTCTTAATTAATTTGATTTACCTCCGGGGGCTACCCCCGTAAAATGTTTTTCATGATCGTTCTCAGCAACGATTCCCGCAACATGTGTCCCGTGACCTTCACACGTTTCAAGAGGGTCGTCGTCAGGAATTGGATGGTTAACATTTCCGTCACCAATGAAGTCGTAACCAAATTGCGTTTTACACCCTGGAGTTTTGAAACACTTTCCGAAAGCCGGATGCATATAATCAAGTCCGTTATCAATGAGTGCAACTTTAACTCCTGAGCCATCGAATCCAGTATGTTGTCGAAAGACGTTTAGACCCGTTATATTATCTGCAGTAAATAATCTTGGATGCATCTTTCTCTAAAGGAAGGAATTAAGCGATTATTTTAACGCATTCTAACCTTAAATTTATTTTAATGATTAAAGTTGGAGCAACTCAAAGTTTAAAACCCCACATTAAAACATACCACAGGCCAAATGTTGATGATTCCAGATACTTTAGCACATTTATGCAGATCGTCATTATTTTCAAGCTTTAGGGATATGCCGCTCATGATTTTTTCTAAATCTTGTCTTACTGTATATTTAATTCCAACATTTTTAATTCTATCTAGCGTGATCGTTGAGGTTAATGTTGATTCATATTGTATAATATAAGAATTGTTTAATGTATCGACGTCGGAAACTTCAAAAATTCGTGCTTCACCATAAGCATTTGAAGCAGTGAAACATAATATCAGCAAATAAACGAGAATTCTATGCGAAGACTTCATTCGGGTTTCTTTGGTTATCTATAATGTATGGTAAAATATATTTATTTTTTGAGAGTTTATAAATAACAAAAAAAAAAATTTATTATTCTAAAAAAATTCTAATGTGATTGAAGTCTTTTTATTAGAAAAATTTCTATAGTAGTGTATTATATAATATATAAAATGAACCGCGTATAAATCCATCCATATACATCATGACTCCGCTTTTTTTTATTTTATTTTATTTATTTTGTTATGTCACTTCCCCTTTTTGATTAAAAAGATATTTCAATTGAATTAAACAACTGCCGCGTTTTTAATCAATTAACAAAAAGTATTTATCAAGCAAACTGTATACAGAAATTCTACAAACGGGAGGCGTAAATAAAAAAAAAATTTTGGCTGAGCTTTCTAATCATTTATGCTGGCTGAGCAAACCTTTTCCTCAGACACCTTTATTTGTCACATGATGCAAAAGTTTCATATTTGGTAATGATTTGTTGATAGAATGTTCGGAGAGCTTTAATAAAGTTGCGGAATTAAAATAACTTGATTTAACACTTGTCTTTTTTTTTGCTTATGATGGAATTTCGAGATTTTTCTATCATTTATACAAAAACATCAAGAAGTCTGCCACAACAACATTTTTATTCAATTTTATTTATTTATTTACTTATTTGATGCTGCTTTCATTGTTTCATTTTATGACTAATATTTTCAATTAACTTTATTCCCCCAATAGCTTTAGTAAAATAAAATTAATCGGGTCGTCGTCACTAACGATCGTGTTCCAATTATCATCAAAAAAAAAAAATTACAAACACCACGTGATTTTCAATTATAGTTTAGGTAAGGAGTCGCCGAGAAATCTTTATTATACAGATGGAACATTTATTAGCGAGCCGTCGTTTTGTAATATATATATTTTTTTAACCTACGTTTGTATTTTAAAATACCCTAAATTGAAATAAAGGAAATTCTCCTCATAACATGACATAGGATGATATCATTATATTAATGAAAGGCAAAGAAAGTTTTATCCGCAGCTTTTTGAATGTGATTCAACCAATTTAGTATATTAATATAAAACAAATTCAACAATAATTAAATCTTAAGCCACTTACAACTATAAATCTTTGGATGAATGTGAAGACAATACATAACGACGCAATAAGTTATAAATAAATATAAAGGTTCATCTGAACTAATCTAAAAAATTGTAACAATAAATTGTATCAGGATCGTAATAGTGAAAAATATTTTCTTAAAAAAAAAAAAGAAAAAAAGAAAAAAATTTTACGCGGTAATTATCATATACAGTAAGTAAATAACCACAAAGAAAAATATTTTTTTTTAAAGAAGTATAGATGCAATGCCGATTATGTTATTGACCTATATTTCAAAACCTTTAATTAATTCTTCTTTTTAAAGTTAATATCTTTTTGGGGAGTGCAGGATTGTTTGTGCAAGTAAGTACTCCGTATCACGCTTTCATCTCAAATGAACAAATAGCCATGGTCTGGTCTTTGACATCTTTCTTACGGCACGTTCACAGCTTACACCAACAATGCTACTTTTGTTAATCAATTAAAAAACCCTACTTCGAGTAACATACTTTTTCAGCCAATTAAAATAAGTTGCAAGTCAATTACCATGATTATCAACAGGTTTAAGTCTAGTTGGATTTACTGTACATTGTCAGGAAACGAAATTTTTTTGTTATCTGTTTAACAAATTATATGTGTTTAACAAAACACAACACAAATAATTTTCAAGTTGAATAAAGGTAGATAAATCTAATATTTGTATTGAATGCATAGTTATTTGTTACTTTAACAAAAATATCTTATCACGATTAAAATTTCTATTTATAAAGAATTTGAATGATCTTTAGTTAATTCGTTTTTTTAAGGTGCTGCCCTCTTGAATCTTTTTATACATCATTTATGTTCCAAATCTCAATGTGCATCATTGTTAACGAGAAAGTATTTTAGTAAATTAAACTTAATTATGTGATATATCCAAGATATAAATTTTCAATGCATAGCTTTTTAAATGAGACAAGAGAAAAACTTCGCGGCTCGCTCAGTGCAAGTAAGTATTTTAACAAATAAAATTGAACTATATTTTATGATAAAATGTTTACATGTATTATAGAATTTTTTTTTTTAAATAAAATTTATTAAAATTAGGAAATCAACTAGAAAATACTAATTAAATTAATTAAATTATCTCACTTATATTTTAGGTTTAAAACGAGCATATTTTTGAAGTTATTGATTTTGTTTACAAAAAATCTGGCGCAATGATATATTAGTTATTTCGATCCGCATTAAGAAAATTCACGTAATACCAACTTGGAAAAAACTTTTCGTCTTTTTTTTCGTACAAATTTTTTATTTTAAATATTTGTTTTGATTCAGCCTTGTTTTCGGATTTTAAATTTTGAGGGCGTAGCGTAGTTTCTTTTATGGCGTAGAGAAATAAGCCATTAGGGCGCAGTTTGGATTTTAACTAATTTAGAATTATTAATTTTCAATTGAAAAGTAGATTGGCTTATAAATATTTACCACTATTTTGTTGACTTGGCCACGAAATTATTAGATGTTGAAAAATATCATGAAATTCTTTATTTTTATATATTTTAGCCTAAATATCATTTTATTGATAAATACATGTACTATAATTTATAACTAATACTTATAACAAGCAAATTTGTGTAAATTTAAATTATTAATTGTAAAATAAGATAATAAAAAAAAATATTTTTTTACAAATAGATTTAAATTATTCAACCTTGAATGTAAAAATCTCCATTTCTTTGATGGTAAATTTTTCTGAATCTAAAATTTTGCTTTCATAATATTTTTGATTGCATGTGCCAGCATCACCATTAATAACCAAATCACTGTAGCCAAAATTCAACGCATGGTCAAAAGTATTAAAAGGTTCATACGAAGCATGATCTGCATTTGCAACACGACTAATTTTCCAATCTTTTTTATCAATAGAAAAGATAAAACTTTCGGTAGTATTAGCCCAATAGCCTTTACCTATATTGTAAGTATAAATTTGTTGATGTTTAAGAGGATTATAACCACCAATTATAGCATCATTTTCATTAATTTTAATAATTAAAAAATAAGCTCCTTGTCCATTACATTTTTTACGCATAATTTGGACATCAAAACCATCTCTACTTCCACGGTATATAAGGTTAAAATTATATTTATTGTTCTTTGGAATTTTTGTTTTAACATCCTTTCTTAAAATCCAGTTAGTAAGGATGGACGCATGTTTTGATCTGATGATCGTTGAATCAACATCAATTCTTCCATTACGAGGAGGCGGCATACTTTGATGAACATTTATCATATAAAACGTCACAATATCTTCAAACAGTGTTTTAGGCAACAGTTTCTTAAAAGGCCGAACCTTATCATTAAAATCTTTTGTAGAAAATTCAAAGAATCGAATGTGTGTGATGAATTGATTTAAAGTATTCTTCAAAGCCAAGAAGTCCTGTTTTTCCCAATT